GCCCAAACATAAATTTTCTAAGCACTCTAAATAAAAGGTTAGTCTAGATTTAGAAAACACACAATTAACTATACATTGTCTGCAAGTAACCCATTCAAATATAAAAAGTACACATAAGTTAAAAGTAAAAAGATGGCAAAACTGTACCAGCTAAACATCAAGTATTAAAAAGTCAAGAATTCTTGGGGCCAGCAAATTACATGGTGGTTAAGGTGCTGGATTCCCACAGGGTTGACTGCAGTTGGAGTCCTGGATGTGGCAGGTTGAAAATCATGCTGGATGCATATGCCTGCATGCCCAAAATTCTAACAAGAGAATGGAGGAGAAGAGACTGTGGCATGGCTATCATCCTCAAGGGGTGACTTCTCACTTTCCCTCTTTCTGTCTCTCACCAGAGAGCACATGTACCCTATGACAGAAATTTGAAACAAAACAAAACAAAAGTTTTTTTTCTTTTTTTTTTTTTCACACAAGAAATATTATCAGGATGAAAAGGGTCAATTCCTGGGGCCAGCAGGTAGCATAGTGGTTAAGGCACTGGACTCCCACCTGGCCAACCACAGTTTGAGTTCCACACCTGGTAGCTTGAAACTCACACTGGGCACTTGTGTGTGCATGCCCAAAATCCTGAAAGGAGAATGGAGAAGGAATTGTGGTGTGCTCGCCACCCCCAGAAGGTGATGAATACTTAACAATTCTAGGACCCAGTGGCTGAAAATAATGTTGGTGTGCATGTATGCATGCCCCAAAATCCTGAGAGGAGAATAGAGGAGAAGGGGTTGTGGCATAGCTATCTCCGCTGAGGAGTAGGGAGGATTTCTCACTTTCTCTCTGTCTTTCTCAGTCTGTCTCTGGCAAATGCACATGCCCTATGGCAAAAACCTGAACAAAACAAAACAGAAGATTTAACAAATAAAAATGTATATACATCTAGCAATAGAATTCCAAAATGCATAAAGCAAAAACTTCCAGAACTGGAAGAAGAAATAGGGTAATTGGAAGATCCTTAATTATAGTTAAGGATTTCAAGATTCTTCTCTCAGTAATTAAAATAACAAGACAGAAAATCAATAAGAACAAATACACCTCAAAAAACATTATCAATTAAGTTGACATAAATGACATTAAACACAGACACATACACATACTCTCTCTTTCTCTCTCGCTCTCTCTCTCTCTCAGTACCACAGATGGGAGGGAACTATTACGTGATTCTAGAGCTATCTATGAAGGCTCAGGGTTCACATCCCAGGTTGACCTGAACACATCAGGCATGGGAGACTATGGTGTGGCAAGGCCCTGTCAGGGATCCCCTACCTTGTGCTCTCATTCTTCATCTCAATAAACAAACAAAATTAAAAGAAATTGGGATCAGCAGTTAGCGTAATGGCTATGTCGCTGGACTCCCACGTAGTTGACCACGGTTTGAGTCCCAGATCTGGTGGCTTAAACTCACGCTGGGCGCGTGTGTGTGCCCAAGATCCCGAGGGGAGAATGGAGGAGAAGGGATTACGGCGTGGCCATCCCCCCTGGGAGATGATTTCTCACTTTCTGTCTCTCTGTCTCTCTGTCTGGTGAGTGCACACACCCTATAGCAAAAAACCTCTCCAAAAAACCCCAGAAATTTAAAGAATAAATAAATAACAAAAAACCACTTCAGGCTGAACCACGGTGATGCAGGATGCTGGACACTGTACTATGATACTGGAGTCACATGGGAAACCTGGGTTCATCTTCTGAGTCAACCTGAACACACGAGGCTCATCCGCATGAACCTGTCTATGATCCTGGCTGGATGAGAGACTGGGGGAGTGGGAGGATGGTGGCATAGAAAGATGCTATTGAAGGCAACTGTCTCTCTTTTATGAAAGAAATAAAATAAATTAAGAGAAGTCATCTGCATTTGAGCTGTGAGCAATCCCTTTCAGGGGCTAAGACAACTGAAGAGTTTCTGCTCAGAATTCACCCTCAAGACCCCAAGGCCCACCAGATGGAAAGAAAAACAGAACCGCAGAGAGATTGTCAATCACCTCCTCCTGCATGCCTCTGAACATTCAGATTTAACTTCAAGAAATTAGGAAAGACTGTAATTCATCAGATGACCAGAAACCACTGCAGAGGCACAAGAAATATACGAAACCAAGAAAATATCTCTCCCCCAAAGAAGAACAACTCCTCGTGTAATGACAGCACAATGGAATTTGTGGAAATGTCAGATAAAAAATTTAGAATATTCGTACCAACAAAGCTAAAAGAGATGCAAGAGAAGAGAGACAATGAACTCCAGAAGATGCAGAATCAAAGAGTCAACGAGTTTCAGGAGATGCGGAAGTTCTTGTATGAATTGAAAGAGGAAATACACACCATAAAAAAGGGTCAAATGGAACTGTTAGAGGTGAAGGTTACAATACAAGAAATCAAAACCTCCCTTGGAAGTATTAAAAGCAGATTAGTTCATGCAGAAAATCGAATCTCAGATATAGAAGATAGAACCTCTGTCCTAGAAAAATTCACCAACAAGATTGAGAAAACAACCCAAGGAAATGAAAATAATATATGAGAAATATTAGATAACATTAACATCCAAACATCTGGATAATCAGTATCCCAGAAGATGAAGAAACTAATAAGGGCATTGATAATCTATTCCATGAAATCCCAAACCTAGAGAGACATTCAAATATTCAGACTCAAGAAATACAAAGAACCCCACCTAGAATCAACCCAAGAAGATCTTCTCCAAGGCACATCATAGCCAGATTGACCAAAACCAAAGAAAAAGACAAGATTCTAAAATTGCTAAGAGAGAAACATCAAGTTACTTATAAAGGATATGCCATCAGGCTAACATCAGATCTCTCATTGGAAACAATGCAAGCAAGGGAAAAATGGTAAAATATATTCAAAGTATTGAGTGAAAAACAATTTCAACCAAGACTTCTACACCCAGCAAGATTATCCTTCAGATGGGAAGAAAAGACAAAAGCATTCTCAGATAAACAAAACCTAAAAGAACTTAGCAACACTTGTCCAGCTCTGCAAGAAGTTCTGAAGAGAGTGCTATACACCAGAAAAACTAAAGACGGACACACAGAAATAAAAGTCCAAAAAACAACCAAGAAAATGGCCACCTTAATGATAGGGATAAGTCCAGAATTGAATGTTAACTTCAAGAATGTAATCGGAAAGAATGTATCACAATAGAAGAGAGAATAATGACAGGAGACTGAACTGGTGAAAGAATTTATGACTTTTAACTAAAACATGACTGATTTTCTTCTATGCTTTGTTTTCCAGATTTAAGGTGTTTTTGGTCTTCTTTTGAACTGTTGACAAGTTCATCTACCTACTATTTAAATAGAAACCTAACCTTTTTCCTGGCTTTAAGTCTTAAGCAAATTTCTCTTAACATTTTGTGAATTTGATTTATTAAAGCTAAAACTGCTTTTCTTGAAATTAAAATATTACTTATTTAATGACCACAGTAAGCTATATAGCCTCAGCTAGGCGCTACTTTACAGTATGTTCATTCTGTTCACTGAGTTTTATGCCTAAAGTCAGATATGTGTTCACAGATATGTATATATCAGCTGGACTTGCTATTGAACATATTTAAGATTTTTTTTGTACATCAATAAAATGTGGGGGAAAAAAAGAGTCATGGAAAGCAACTGTAGATATGAGAGACAGTGTGGAAGGAGGATGGGAAATGGCAGAAGGTGAAAAGCAGGGAATCCAGAGGGGAAAAAATGCAAAATATATAAGAAACAAGAAACGAAAAATTATTTGTTGATGATAACATGTATAGTAATATTATTGATTAAGCCAATATACAGTGTATTCTGAATGGGAAATCTCATTTTGTGTGCTGTGATGATGTACAGTGAATGAATGTAAAATAAATACATTTAAAAAGAAAGAAAATAAATATTTAGAAATATCAACAAATACACTATACCCAACAAATGTAAACCATAAGTGCATACTGAATGGGCCAGCCCTATTACCTAGTGGTAAAGAAAGCCAGATCCCATATAGCCAACCATGGTTCCAATCCAACTCCCAGCAACTTGAGAAACACACTAGGTGCATGTTTGCATGCCCAGAATCCCAATAGGATGGGGAAATGAAGAAAGTATTGTGTTGTGATCACACCCCATTAGAGGGTGCTTTTTCCCTCTGTCTCTGGTGAATGCACAATTTTTTTTAATGTGGCAATTTTTAAAAATGAGTAAGTGTACATAAAGCATTCACCAAGACAGACCATATTTCAGACCATTAAAAATGTGTTTAATGGGGGCAGCAGATGGTATAGTGGTTAAGGCACTGGACTTCCACATGGCTGACCATGGTTCAAGTCACAGACCTGGCAGCTTAAAAACTCACTCCAAATGTGTGTATGCGCATCCCAAAATCCTGGGAGGAGAATGGATTGCAGTGTGGTCATCCCCACTGGGGGGTGATTTTTTTGCTTTCTCCCTCTCTGTCTCTCTCTCTGTATCTCCAGTGAACACACATGCCCTACAGCAAAATCTCTCTTTCAAAAAAAAAATGTGTTTAACAGTGGCTCTCTGGTCTTAGTATGCATCCCTTGGAAACCTGGAGCCGTTCTTAAGCCTGCGTTCCCAAGCAAGTAGCTCAAAATAGAAAAAGATGTGAAAGCTGTTCCAAAGAGCATTAGTGTTTTCCTGATGATATAGAATCAAATCCAAATACTTACAGCATCAGTATTGAGAAGTCAAGGGATGGCCAAGAAATATCAGCTTTCAAAAAATTTTTTCTTTATTCATTTAGAGGACATAAAAAGATAGGGTCTAATCATTTGTATTCAATGTATTTCCAGTAGATTTCTTTTTTAAAAGCACCCTCTATTTAGTTGACATATTAGATACAGTGTGTATGTGCTGTCCAACAGTATGAAATGAAAAGTTTATTGTCAGACAAACACTAAATAAGAAATAGAACAGACAAAATCATTTGTTTTTCAATTATTGATATAGGATTTCATGATGTGCTGGGCAATGAAAGACCTCCTGGTTCTATGAGGGAGCAAAATCAATTAAATGGCTGGTCTTCTGATGAAAATGAATGGAATGAAAAACTCTACCCAGTGTGGAAGAGGGGAGACATGAGGTGGAGAAACTCCTGGAAAGGTGAGTCCAAAGATTCAAACCAAACAACTGTAATTTCCTCCTTCAGTGAGTCTTGTAGATTGTAGAGCCGTTAACATCACAGACTGGTGCTGTTCAGTTCCCATGGAGACAGCCCTCTAGTTACCAAGTGGGTGGTACCTGGGTCTGGTGATCTTTCCTTTAGCCCAACACTATCACTTTCTAAGCCACAAGATAATATTTAATCCCCTTAGAAATGCCCAGGTTGATGGCTCTTGATACCTTTTGGGGAGCCAGCAGGTTTTGCCTCACACCTACTAAACTAATACAGAAGGGCTATCGTCAGAAGACTCTTGGCTCCAAAGCAGTTTTCACGTTTTATTTTGTCTTGCTTTGTTTTTTAATTTGCCACAGTGTGTACGCACTCACCTGGGAGAGGGGAAGAAAAGTGAGAAAGCACCTCCCACGGGGATGGTCATGCCGCAGTCCCATCTCCTCTGGCTCCCATTTTCAGGGATCCAGCCGTCTTAACCATCAAGTTAGGGCTGGTTCCTGAAGCAGTTTTTGACCATGCAAAGGTGCGCTTTATCAGAAAGTAAATATCGGTCCTTTAAAATAACACAAGGAGTCCTTCAGCCATTGGTTTTAAAACATAGAAACACAGACTTTTAAAACTTATTTCCTCAAACCACTTGAGATTTTGTTGTTGTTGTTGTTATCTTAAGTAAATTTTCTTCCTGTGATTAGAGAATTCTTTAAGTGAACTGGCCTGATTCATTTTTATTCACCTTCTAGAATGGTGTACTCTAAAGCTAAGCATTCAAAAAGTAATTTAACATATTATAAAAGGGCATATGGACTCTCTCATCCTTATTAAAAGATTTCATTTTAAATTATTATTTTTTTAATGGCTAGAGTGCACATTCTCACCAGAGAGAGACAGAGGAGAGAAGAAGTACCTCCGATGGGCACGGTTGCATTGCAATTCTTTCTCCATTCTCCGTCCTGCCAGGATTTTGAGCACATGCATCTCCAGCATGTTTTTCGAGCCACCAGGTCCAGGATTCAAACCACAGTCAGTTGTGTGGGATTTGGCTCCCTTAACTACTAGGTTATGGGGCCAGTCCATCTACATGATAATTATTTTTTTAAGTTTATCCATTTATTTCTTTAGTCAAAGAGAGAGACAGGTACTCCCAGCTGGATCTTCACACCATGATCCACCCCCAGTCCTGGCAAGCTGAATGGATGTGAGCAGGCTGGATGGACACGGGCAGGCTGGGCACATACACATGGCTGTGAGCATACCAGGCACTGACACACATGTGTGCTCAGGGAGGTCCTGGGCCAGAATGTGAACCAGGACCCTTCTCATATGAGTCCCGCTGCATTATCACTGTGCCACTACCCAGACCCACTTTTTGTTTATTAATGGGTGAAAGAAAAAGAGGTCCTTGATCACTAAGCTGCCTTTTGTTTATGCTCTAGGTGGCCGTGTGCAGGCTGTCCTGACCAGCGACTCACCAGCACTGGTGGGCTCAAATATCACGTTTGTGGTGAACTTGGTATTCCCCAGATGCCAAAAAGAAGATGCAGATGGCAATATAGTCTTTGAGAAGAACTGCAGAAATGGTAAGATCCGAGATTTTCTCCTGACCTACTGGAGACCCTTCTCCCAACCTTTAATGCTCACATGTTCTGTAAGTGCAAGATACTGCTATTGTTTCTTGACACCCTTCTCCTCAAGTGTTTAGTATTCTGTAACATTTTTTTTCTCTTTTTTAAAAAACTTTGATTATTCTAAAGGTTCCAATGAGAGCCCAGTCCTCTGAGCACTTTTCTGTAAAAGAGTCCTTCCTATTAAAAAAAAAAATTATTATTATGTTTTTAGATTTTTGCCACAGAGTGAGTGTGCTCACCAGAGAGACAGAGGGGAAGTGAGAAATCACCTCCGCCCCCAGGAAAGATGGCCATACTGCAATTCCTTCTCCTCTATTCTCTGGGATTTTTAGGTGCACATGTATACATGCCGGTGTGATTTTCAAGCAGCTGGTTCTAGGACAACTCAAACCTGACAGCTGGCCATGTAGGATCCAGTGCCTTAACCACCATTCTTCTTGCTGGCCCCTTCTAATGAACATTTTTATAAAATCTCTATCACAGTAAAAGAGAGTACAGATCTTTGAAGAAATTAACAGTTCCAGGTGTAGGGCAAAGAAAGTACCAGGTAAGCCTGAGACATCTTATTATTCCAGAAAAAGCTCAAAGACTAACAGGGTTATGTCAAAGGACATAGGAGCCAGCACAAAACAGCTTCTATTGGCCATATTTGGGACAATTTAAGACTAACAAATAAAAATGCCTATAATAGATAAATAAATATAAATACTTTCAAAATGTTGGTAACATAGGAGATGGTGTAATAGTTACATTGCTGGATTCCCACATGGTCGACCTCAGTTCAAGTCCCAGATCTGATGGCTTAGAACTCATGCCAGGCATGTGTGCATGTATGCCCAAAATCCTGAGAGGAGACTGGAAAAGGGATTGCAGCATGACCATTCCCCCTGGGGAATGCTTTCTTGCTTTCTGTCTCTGACTCTATCTCTCTGGCGAGCACACGCACCTTATAGCAAAAATCTCTCTCTTTTTTTTTTTTGGAGAGGTTTTTGCTATAGGGCGCATGCGCTCGCCAGACAGACAGAGAGAGGCATAGAGACAGAAAGCGAGAAATCACCCCCCAGGGGGGATGGTCACGCCGCAATCCCTTCTCCTCCATTCTCCTCTCGGGATCCTGGGCAC